AACTTTCTGGGTGCGGGCATGTGTGCCGGAGGCGCGCTGGGGCCGGGGCTGGGGGCGGGAGGCGGTCCGGGAGGTTCCGGGTTGGCTCGCCAGCGCCCCCTTTTCTCTTCCCCCTTCTCCCCGCCCCTGAAGGCACAGGCCCTCAGGGCCCCTGGGGTGAAGCGGGAGGGGTCCTCCGGCCGGCTGGCGACGGTCACGCCCCGAGGGCACTTCTCTCTCGGGCCCCTGGGGGCCGCGGGCGGAGGGGGCCAGGGTGGTCTCTCCGTTCGGAGCTCCCTGCCCCTGGCCCCTCCAGGGAGTCCCGGAGGCGTCTCTTCCGAGATCGGGGGTGGGTCGGTCCCTGGTCAGATGGTCCCTCCCCTTTCCCCCTCCCCCTAGTGGTTTCCGGGGCCTGCGGGACCGAGGGGCGGGAATCGGGGACCCGAGCCCCTTGCACCGGCTCGGAGCTGGACTGGGCCTAACGTCTCCGGGTCTGTCACTGGTAGAGGAAACTTTCCCAAACCGGGACCGAGCTTGAACACACTCCTCTGCCACCTCGTCCTCTAATCCCACTCCCACTCCACCTCCTCCAACGCCTTCCCCTCCCACCGACCCGAATCTCACTGCGTGTGACTGATGGGGCAGTGAGCCAATCGGAGATGTGGGTAAGCCAATGGTGAGGGCCGGAGGAAGGAAGGGGGCGGGGCTTACACCGGACCAGTTGGAGCAGAGTTGCACGCGGGCGGGGGAGTCATGGAGACGCCAAGAGCTATATCCACTCTGGTCCATCCCTAGTCCCCCGCTCCCGAGATCTGTAGCTAGTGCAACTTACAGGGGGGCTGGCCCAGGGAGACGCGAAGGGCTACACGAGATACTATGTTTTTCTGGTACCACGAGAGACGTTGTCTTAGACACGACAAAGTCTAAAGCCACTCAAACGATGTGGCAGTAACTCCGAGGCCCGTTTCTAAAATGGCATATAGTGGAGAGATCGTGTTCTGGACCCCAGCGCCTGGTTTACATGCTGAGGGTCATAGGAGTTGTCTGTTTACCTCCACCTCAGTTTCACTCAGCTACTCCGGCGTGGTGACAGTGAAATTTGAAAGGGTAGTTTGAAAATGACTAGCCTTACGGCAATTGATTATTGGGAATGTAAAGTATCATTGTTTGTAAGGGCTTCACTGGCTCCTTGTTTAATTAGACCGCCAATTCCCAAAGTGCACTCGAAAGTTCTGCATTTGGGGAGGACATTAAAAAAAGTTGTGGTTTTATGGTATGCCTTTTTTTTTTTTTTTCACTCTTTCTTGAGCAAACAAAATGAAATTAGGAACCAAAGCATCACTGTTTGAAATGTAAAGCGTTGGTATTTAAGGAGCAAAGCTTATCAAAGAATATTTGTCTAGAGAAAAGAAGTAGTTTGCCAGATTACTCCAACACAAAAGAGTGTTAAAAATAAATTATTTTAGTTTTTTTTTCTTAAACACAGCTGAATTGTCCAGTGTGTGGGTACTTTTCTTGTTTATGCAAGGAGAGGAGACATCTTTGGTGGTTTTAAGTTGTTGGTTGCATTCGGTCCAGTGACTTTATCAACTCTTGACTTTTAAGAATAGGGAGGGTAGGTCTTTGGTTCTCTATAAGGATCACAGGTTGCTCGGCAGGAATAGCCGTCTTTTAAAGACAGCAGCTGTTACAGTGCTTTTTGTGCGTGTGCTCCTGTTCTTTGTTGGTGAGGTTAGTGCACACTGACAGCAGCAAGGCTGCTTTCCCAACTGGAATTTGCAGGATCTTTAGGAGTTCAAGGAATGAATATTAAATTGAGAATGAGTCCATTTTGTGATAAGTATCCCATGAATTTAACTGATCTTGCTAGGGATTTTTTTTTTTTTTAGGTATTTTATCTGCATGATATTTATCTTATCTATTCCGATTTCTCTAGCTTTTATTAATATTGGGTTACTAAGAAAGAATAGAAGGGGACTGTAGTTTTAGGGGACAAGTACCACACCCTGCAGATGTGTTCTGTTGTAATATACCATTTTCAAATTTATGATGTGAATTTCCAATCCAGTATAATTTTGAGTATTCATTTAGACAAAAATTAATTTTATTTTGCTTTAACCTTTGAGGTGTTATCTTAGTGACAGAATAGTAAAAACCACAAAGATAAAATGAACAGCTACCAGTAGGGAGTATTATAAATTAAACAACATTAAAAATTTGACAACATTCAATCCCCCCTCCCACCATCATTAGTTAATTTAGTTACTGATGGCCACCCTGACGTGTGCCCCTTTTGCTCTTTTGTATGCTCGGGAGCAACACATTGTTTTACTTCATTTTCTGCAACAATCTTTGAAAATGTTCTCCTATTCTTGGTGGCAGAGTGTAGCAAGTCCCCTAATGCCTGGCTAAGGGGAAAAAAAACCCTCTCAAGCATATGGAGACATCTAGAAAAAGATGTGCATCGTCAGCTGTGATTCCATTGTGTGCTCTCAGGCTGGATCTGAGCCTTCTTCCTCCTGGGAATTTCAGTCTTACCAGAGGAGTTCTTTGACTTTTAGATGTCAGGATACTGAAGCAGAGGGTAAAAAGAGCTCACCAATTATGAATTTAATATTTTTTAGATAGTTTGGCTCTGATTTTAACCCTTCATCCGTTCAATAAAATTTACATGACTTTCGCTCAGTGTTAGAGAAGCATTTTATTGAAAATGTAAATTATAAGGATTAGAGGGGGACTTGGGCTGTGGTATGAGAGTGCAGAAAGGGTTTTATTTGTAGCTACACCATATAAAAGCTTTCCAAGCCTCAGAACCAAGGACCTGTGAGCAGTGCTCCCATTACACACCTTATATGTAAGGATTCAGTACCTTAGCTGTTTAAAATCACCTCAGGTTGAAATATGACCCATAAGTTGACAGTTTGGATTTCTTGGGAAAAAATGTGTTGTGTTGAATTTTAAAATGATTATTTTAATAAGTAGTCCTTAGGATGCTGTGTAGCAAAAAAAAAAAAAAAGGGCGGGGGGGAGTCTCTTCAGTTTTTCAAAATGATTAGTTTTCTGAAATGCAGTGTGTCCTTATTTGATATTTTCACCATTATTATGTCATAGTTGAAGTTATATTTAAAAACATATGCTTAGCTATTTTTGTGGCAAAACTGCTATTTAAGAAATTACTAGCTTTTCAATATTTTGTGTTTATAGTTTTTGGTGATTATGTTATTACATGCTCTATCAATTTTAAATTAAGAGAATAGGAGGGAGAAATAAGCCACTACTTTAAGGTATTGGTCTTTTATTGCAGTAAATCATAAAACAGCAGCAAATTGAGATCTTTTTCTCTGATGAAATAATCAGACTATATTTACATACCAATAATGAAAGCCATTTAAGAGAAAACAGAATGAAACCCTGTGTTTTTTTTATATCCCATATCTCAAGCTAATTTTACCTCTATGGCTTGTTTTCTAAACAAAAAAGATGTTCTTAGAGTTTGTGTTTATTTTCTTTTTGTTTTAAAGGCTCGTAGAAAGGTTTATGAATTGCAAAGTGTAGAAAGAATATTATGTCTTATTACTCTCTTTCAACTCTATTAAAAGTAATGTCTGGAAAAGCTATAAAATATAATTTTAGTGTCTCAGACCCTCAAATCAGGCAGCATAAAGAAAACATACTTTATGGATTCTAGATACTATTTTCTAAGTAGAGGTGAGAATATGACTTCTGTGGATATTTTTTGAAGCTGGTGTGGTTTTCCTAGCTGTTGTAAAAACTGAAGCAAAACTGATTATGAAAAGGAGTGGAATTCTTAAAAATAAACTTGTCAAGAAACTCAGGTCTCCATGTACATCATAGTACTCTTGGCTTTTAGGGTAAAGATTTTATGTGTTTTCCCTATAAAATGTTCATCAGTGACCAAATTTCTGGCTTCCATTGGCTGTGATGACATAATGAAATTGTGGAAACATTGATTCTAGGACAATTTTTCAGCTGGTTCGGTAGTTGGAAATTTCTAGCAGGGGGGCTATGGTGGTATTTTACTTAGCTGCTTTCTAGGCTTTGGGACATGGAACCTAAATTTAAGTCAGAGAGGAGAGCTGCTTATAGGTAGAATTTACTAGCAATCGTTCAAGGTTCTAAAAGAAAAAGACAGTTTTTACTTTGGTTATCAATGGACAGATACAGGGAGAATTGAAGTTAGCAGGTTAATTCTGGCAGAATTTATCGCTTACAGGCAGCCAGTCATGAACTGTTAAGAGTTTCTAATGGCCAACTTAAATCTCACCTTGGGCTTTTTAGATTTTTGTCTTTGAATTCTTGCCTCATTTAGCCATTGTTTTATTTATTTGTTCAGTTATTTATTTAATGAGTATTTGAGTGTCCCAGCATTGGCAGTTTACTTTGATATGTCAACTGATGGTGTTGGCGCCAGTTCAACACCAGTAGGAATCCCCAGTCTGAGGTGCGGCGAAGCGGGAAACTCCATCCAGCGCAAACAGCTCCTAGCGACAGACCCCTTCCCCAGGCAGCCCTCCTCTGCGGCAGTCCGCTGGAGCCACGGGGCCCTGACTTATATACAGAGAGGTCCTGGCCCCTGGTCCCTGATTGGTCTGTCCTTATACAAATGAGGACTCCAGATGTCAAAGTTTGATTGGTCCAAAAACTTCTGCTCTGATTGGTTGGTGAAGAAGCTGATGGGCTATAGC